CCTTTGTATTATGGTTGGGGTCGGTTGCGGTGCAACGGAACCTGATGGAACATCACGGAAGGACCGAGGCTAAGCGCGACGCCAAAAACTTTTTTTTGTATTAGTGATCATGGAGGATTTCCTATCTATATAAGGGGGTGTGCCCCCTTATATTTTATATTCTTTACGCAATCTGGTAATCTCCTCTGGACACCCTTTCTTCCTCGCCCGCGGGCCTGGTCGCCTTCTTTTGCTAAGAGCTTCCCATGGGAATTACTCTGGCTTCTCTGATAACTTCGGTTGTCTTCCTACCGTTGGACCTTCATTTCGGTAAAACGGTTTTGGCTTTCCTGTTCTCGTTTCCCCGCAGGATTTCGCGTTCGTTTCGTTGGTTTATGGGGGTTGCGTCGCTGGCTTCCCACGGGATCACAGGTTTGAGACTGGATAGCTTAGGTTTACTTTCACTGACATCCTTTCTCCACTGTTGGCTGAGGGCTTCGGCTCCTCGGTTTTACATCGATGAGGTTCGAATACTCGCTCGCTCATGGTCCTGCTCTTGCTCCTTTGTCCGCCCGTTTCTCGCGATAATAGTCCGGTCACTTGCATTTACGCTGTCTTTTGGGTCTCCTCCCCGCGCGGATGGCTTTGACCCTGAGGTTCGTCCCCCCCTCCCGATTTATTTGGGGTGGTGTGGCGTGGTTGGCTCGCGACTTCCCTAGTGGGGGCTGATGTGTGCCGGCCCGGTTGGGAACCTGGCTGTGGCTGGGGTTGGCGGTCACACCCATTGCAAGTGTGGCCTACCTCCTTCGTAGCTGGGGACCTGGTCGGGTTGTTACGGGTTGGTGTGGTGCCGCACCCGATGTTTCCCCTTGATGGGTGGTCGGCTCTGTAGCGTGGGGATATTCTACTGTGGAGGTTTTGTTTTGTTGGGCTACGGGACGGTATTCAGACCGGATATGTATTTTTGATTTATTTATTTGCTGGGAGGGCTGCGGGCCGTAACTCCCTTTACCTTGCTGGATGGGACCAAGGACTTTAGTCGCTCTGTTCCTGTCTGGTCGGGTATCGGGTTGTTGGTCGGTGCGGGTGAGATTGGTGCTGTTGATGAACTTGTACCTAGCTTTCGTGTTTGCTCGCTCGTGGAGGGGTTGGCTTGTGGTGTTCTTTCGGGGTCGCTAACGGGTCTGGATGGTGTGGGTTCGGAGGTTTCTTGGTTTTGTATGTTGTTGTTACGCACGCCAGTGTATTGTAGGGATCCTGGCCCCAGGCTGTTGCTTTCGAGCGCAGTTCCGGTCCGCTTGTGGTCCGCCAGAGGCTCGCCAGCCCTTATGGTAGGTGTACGATAGGATAATCGCTCGTAGCATAAGCCTTTAAGGTGCCTGCCAGTATAAATATAACATTAGATTGAATTCGGACACCTGTACCTAGGAATTACACCTCTCTACTACTTCGCGTCCTCTGGAACCTGTGAACCCTGACCCTGAACCCCTGAACCTCCAGCCTTGTACAATTCGCTTCGGTTGTACCCCTTCGCTTAGTCCCAGTCTCCTAGTCCTTGTCTCTCGTCGTGGTGGTGTGCCTTGGGCTACCAGACCCTCCGACCCTATCCGTTACACATAGGAACCCCTAGGCCATATGATGAGGGCCAGGAGGAGGGCGCTGAAGCCCCAGGTGCAGAGGGTATAAGAGAAACCACCCCAAAGGCGGCGACCGAGAAGGGAGGAGAGGAGGTGTGTGGCAGGCGTGCCAGTGACCGTGTGTCCTCTGGGACAACTGACGATTGAGGCAGTAAGGTGCCAGCTTGAGAGAAGGTGGTAGTAGGATACCAGCCCATCCGACCTTGGAGAGGAGCCCTAAGCGAAGCCGGTGTTTTACCGCGTCCCTCATATAGTTCCTTATTCTGGGAGAGATTGCGTCACTGTAGTGGAAGGGATCCCACCACCTGCCAGCCAAAAAGGCGTCAAAGAGTAGAGGAGGAGTAGACCCAATTCCGTAAACAACAACTATTGGTAACCGTGTTCGTGTCTGACTAGGGAGCCTCTTATGGGGGCAAGAGAAGGGAGAAATCGACCGTAGCCGGTAAGCTGTTCTCTCCTACCGCAACTGTAGTCCCGGCTCTCTGTTGAAGGTGGAAAAGAGGGTTGCTGACTATGCCAACACCTAAGCGAGGCAGGGTAGGAGGAGGGGAATTATCACGAAGATGAGAGGCCTCAACCAGGGATGGGACCGAGGGAATCAAGAAATAAATCAGGACCCCAAGGGAGATGGGAAGCGAGCCCAACTCCTGTAGCCGTGGCTAGATGGAGGGAGATGGGGAGGGGGGGTGGTACTAGACTATGAAAGCCACGATAGTAACCATGGTATTGAGTTTTCAATCGCCGGAGGTATAGCGGAGACGGAGGATGTGACTCACAACTGTGAGTCACCAACATATGAATATAATACTCTGTGAAGCACTAGTATGCGTCCTGTAAAATCCCAATAGACCTATAGCTCGGAATCCTGAACTAGGTGAAAGCTCCCTTGCTTAGTTACAGTTTATAACATTTACATAGACAGGATAGGAATATAGAGGAAGGGGTGATGAGTGTTATGGTGAGAGACGGAAGTAGCAGGGATTCTCTGAATACAAAGCAGGCATGGCAGGATGGCTGGGACATGGGGCAGGAGGTCCAGGGGTGTCCAGACAGCAGCCAGGAGAAGGAAGGGTGTCAGGACCTCAGGCAGGAGTAGTAGGGGCATCGGAACACTAGGAGGGAAAGGGCATAGATTATCAGGATACCCGGAACCAAGCTACCAAGAGGTCTCAATGCAGGGAGGTTGGAGGACCACTCACCTGGTAAGCGTCAGGATGCGGGATAGTGCAGATGTGAATATCAGGAGGCAACAACGGATTCCGCTGATATCCTAATTAACAGTTTGCCTCCTGTACATCCTGTGCATCAGACGTGCAGGACCTACAGGATGCAAGAGCAAAATTTTGCTAATACGGTCAAAAATTACCTTTAATCTTAATATATTCTAAATTTATCTTCTCTTATTGCAGCAACTTGGAAGGAGGTTACCTGATATTCATATTCTCAAATCAGATTCCATGAGTTATCAGATGATCAAATCGACTTTTTATAGCATTTTCTTATTCGTTTCATATGTATATTCTTCTTGATAATATCGTATATTTCTCTGCTTAGTATTGTTTCTACAACACAAACATTACTATAGCTATAGTATGTATTATGTACATTTCATCTAATATTTCGTGATACAATTAGTGGATCATTATGTGTTTTCTTATCTGGTGTTCAGGTTTATTTCTTATATTTTATGCATCAGCATGCACGGTCATCGGTCATTTGATTTTCAATTATGTTTCAATTACTCACTTACACCATCTCAGATTCATGCATGTTTTATAGGATTTCCTTGGCAATTTCTCCAGGTCAAACACATTCACACTTATGCTTTTCCTACTTATGTTACAGTCAAACATGGCAACACTTATGTTTTTCCTTATATTTTTTCTTAGTTATGTAAAGGATATGCACCTGTATAAATAGGAGTTACCACCCATCCTGCTTAAGAGAATTAAGAACAAGAACTACTATCAATCTACCTTCATACAAAACTCCTCCTCGCTTAATGTGCCTTCTGTATACTCTTTCTATCCTGTTCTATTTCTATATAAAGTTACTAAGATAGTGTCATACCATACATATTTGAACACTTTTGAAATAAGTGTAGAGTACATAATAGATCATATTCTTAGATCAGATTAGATGGGTTATCAGATGATCCGATTGACTTTTGACATAAGTGTACAGTACATACTAGATTTGCTCAATTAGGAGTATTAGAACATGAAAGTCATCTGGCAGGATTGTGATATGTGGACCTAACTAGTAGGTTGGATGATAATATTAACTATTGAAGTTTTACAGTTCTAAGGGGCTCTGTTCATGGGAGAGGTCCATGCATTCATATATTTAATACCGAAATTTATGTCTCCTATATTTGTTTAATTAAACCTTTAAGTTTATTTTTCAATTACCCTTATTTACTTCTATTATTAATCTTTTGTTTTAAAATAATGCCTTGCAATAAATAATCACTTGGCTACAAGTTTAGTTTTTATTTTATTAAATATCTAAAAGATATTCTGAATCTATATATTCTACTAGGAGTAGGTAATTGTGTCAGTGGTATCATACTGTGAAATATGAGTCCAAGATGTGAATCTGGAGGCCAGGGTTGTATCGGTTGGGAATTAGGATCATAGGAGTTTCTCAAGGTGTTACGCTGAGCATTACATACAAAATTGTCACAGTTTTGGTGTGAAAGTTGGTCCAGAGTCTAGACTTCCTGTACCATACCTTAGTGCCGTCTCTAGCAGCTGCCACATTCAGTAGTTGATTCCTAGCCTGATTTTGGGTTAAACCAAAAAATGGGATATCCCCTGAGCCGCGCACTATCAATACTTCTCTAATCTACACACCGGAGGTAACATTCGCTAATAGACGGGAGAGAGCAAAAGGAATAGATCTCCTCCGTTTGCAAGACCGAAACGGGTCATCCGGAAAACGAATTGAAAAGGACCTATTATACCAAACGCTCTAGGTAAGGACCAACCCGAACACCCCCTATTTTCTTGTCGCCGATGGTTGGGCCAAGATTTTTCTTTGGGGAAATATTGGTCGGATCAATATTTCAGAAACCCCAGTTTTACCGCCAGTCGCATTATCACGCTCGCTGCCTTTTTTTCGTGTCAATCGGGCACACCACACCCAATCCAATAGAAGTTTTGCCGTAAAAGCGAGGGTTATACCGGTACAGTACCGTCCGGTGATCGGTCAAAGTGGGTGGCAACTAGACGCGCCCTAGCCCTTTGCCCTCATCCGGGTAAACGGTCGTGTTGCATGAACTGGGGTGCACTCGGCGCATCGCGCCATACGTGTACCCCCCCCCTTTCCCCGGCACTTGGAACCACAAAACAACTTCCTTTATTGAACGCTAGCACTCGCATCGCGTTGAACTCGAGCGAGCCCTTTGCATACCCAATTGCTACCATCGCACCCTCAAATGACAACATGGCTACCGCTTCCGCTCCTCCCCGAAACGGGGTTCTGTGAGTTGCCATTCAGTGGAGAAGGGGTGAAAAACACATCAGCAGTCTCGCGGGCTCGGAGGCAGGAGAACGAAGGCGAGGTTTGGAATGAATCAAGAGTTGGTGTTTGCCAAACCAAAATTCCGGTACTCGGCGGATCTGGCCCTCGTCTTGATGATACCGCCCGCGCTGTTGGGCGCAAAAAACCCACGAAAACACCAGCTTATTCGTCCCCTACAGCAAGGGAAACTAAAGAACCAGTTATTGCAATCACTAATTCCACCAACGGGGTAACGGAAACCAACACCATTAGACCTGCTCACAAGACTCGGAATTCTATTAAACTAAGCCATAACCCTCTGGGAGTCCTCCCCCGCTCTCCGACACCTGGTTTAGGAAAACCCTTAACACTCCACTCTACGCATCGGCGCGCTACACCTTCTATGCCAGAGCCCACCTCGTCTCTACGCCAGCCACCGCTTGGGCAATTATCGCGTCGAGCTGTGCTACGGCTAGGGAGATACAGCGGGGACGGCTCCGCAGCATCTAGTGCAGAGGGAAACTCAACACGACTAACAGCTAAGTGGAGATCCAATGCCCCGGTCAGGGGGTCACCCCGTAAAAGCTTGGTTCCTGCTCTTCCCGATTCGGTCTCCACAGCACATATATGCGAACTCAACCGAGAGGATCCTCGGAACTGCGGCTCCTCTTGTGGAAAAACCTGGACCTCCCGGCCTTCCTGCGAGCCCTCCCACCACCATAAAGAGCCAAGTGACGTCTGGCGATTTCACTCCCGCAGCCAAGGGACTCACAGTGCGCGAAATAGCAGATGGAATCTTCACGTTGCAAAATCCAGTTTACCGGATCAGCGCCTAGAAGGATCAGAAACCGATAAGACCTCCGACCAATTACTCCCAAGTGCTACTCCATCCGGCATATCTTCAGCACCGGGGAGGAGCTCGTTAAGGGTTAAGGCAAGACTTCCGAGGTTACCCGACCCCACTCCCAAGAATCAGGGTAAGTCGTTTCCGGATATCCATTGTGTTGTTCGACTCCCTATCCGCCAATTAGGTTTCGTGTGGATTGCACTGACTTTACCTTCGAATAGCATTGACCGGTCCTAATCAGCAGCCGAGCAAGGATACCTGCAGGGTAGGTAGCATTTCGCCACCTGGGGGACTAGCTGGTGAGACTGCCTTTAAAGCACCAGCAACAGCCTGTGGGCTGGCGGAAAGTGATATTACGCACTTACATTCCGTTCGTGATGCCATGGACCTGGACTCGCCGTTGCCAGCCGCTGATGGCACACACGACTGGGATCTCCCTATAAACGATGGAGATGCTTTGGGCCAAGCGAGTGCAGACCGCACTGCCGGTCTGATGGATGAAAGGACTAAACAAGAGGCAGAGATCCTTTTCAAAGCCTTCCTGGAGGTTGAAAATTCTGTGGAAATGAGCCCAAGGGCTGTATCTCTCCCCACAAGGCCGGTGCCTGGACCTACGGTTGCCGGTTCCTACCTTACGCCGAGCGTGCAGGAGGGGAGCAAGAGTGGAACAATGCGTACCTCCCAGAAGCCGCTCCAGATTCCTGTACAACCGCCGGGGCATCCTGATACTCGAGCCCTATCACAACAACGACAGTCGACCAGGACCACTCGAATGGCACGTTCTTAGGTGAGAATAACTCCTGTTGGGGCGGCCGTGGAACCTTGGGTGCTTGAAGAGGGCCCTCAATCCTGGTGCAGTTCCCGGCCACTCGACACTCCCCTCATCCCCTCCGCCTTCCTTTAATTCGAGCCTCTTATCGCCACAAGATCGCCCGGCTCTAAACCCGAAAACAAACCCCTTTCATCTCACACGTTCATGCACTATCGCTTCTTCCCAATCTTAGTGGCACCCGAACAGATTCCTGCGGAATACCAGAAACGCCTACTGAGACGGATGCTCCTACCTGAATGCGTCGGAATTGAGTCGTGCTGTGACAGGCCCTGCGAATTTCCGCAGCCCCTGCAATATTCCGCGGCCAAGGCCAACCTCTCCCTCCAGCACACCAAGTTCTGCGGCGATGAGATGCTTACCAACGCCCCCCCGCGACAATCGACCCAACTAATTCTCCTGGAAAAATCTGGTCGAGGTGCTTGGGGCGCGATTCCGATCTGTCGACTACCAGGGACACCTCGCGATAAGTCTTCCCACGTCGTCGCCAAGCGCCCACTTCCCTCGGCTCACTAAACAGACAGGACATATACATGCCCCATGAGCAACACCTCCAAACACTTCTCCGATGCCCTACCCGCTTCAATCTAGCTCTTGTTCCCCCCTCGGAAAGCCCACCGGAAATCTCTGTGTACAATAACAGGAAAAAACTGAGATGGCGCGAACTTGCTCCCAACTTTTCTAGATCCTTCTCCAACCCTAGAGAACGCCCCCAACCCCCTCTCATAACAACCCCGTCACCAGCAGCTTGTAGAATGCTCGCCAAAACGTCACCCGCTATCGCCGCCGCCGCCCCCCCACTAGCCTTGTGGGAGATTCAGTTTTGCCCCCTGTTTTCCGCGCTCCCAGTAACCTGTCTTCCCATTTCTCTTCTCAGCGAATGTTCTGGGTTTATTTTACGATTTTTTCCTCGGAGTTACAATTGAATTTGACCTTTCCTCTTACTCAACCTCATGCATCCCGGTGCACGGTGTTGTGGGCGAACCCGACGATCTACGTGATAAGGGTCCAGGCTATGTAGCTTCCGACGGGTCACTCGCAGCCACTTGTGGAGACTCGTAACCAAAATTTGTTCTAGTGCCAAGAGCCACGCATCACTCCACTCTGCCGTCACTAACGCGTGACCCATTCCCGTTTCTAAATCTGCCCATGTCAGATTGCAGCGGCCCCACTTTATGCGTCAATGTCAAACCAGCACTTGTAAAAAACCCGTCGACATGAGCAGTTAAAAAAATAAGATGCAGCCCTAAGCCACTTTGCGCCAAGCAAAATCAGCACTGTAAATTTTTAACATGTCTGCAGATCCCTCTCTTGTCCGTTTGTCGCCAGAGGGCTGCCGCAACAATACAACCCTGAATTTAGGATCTTTCAGCCTGCCCTCGGAAAAGCAGGATAGGAGCCGGTAGACGGTTCGGCGAGCCGTTGGAGAAATAAGAGATCATTTTACAATCACTTCTTCTCACTCGCTTTTCTCTCTTGTGTTCGGGCTTGGACGCACCCATGCGCCTGCGTGGCAAGCTGGCAGGAGTGGAGGGAATACCTCCTGGTTCTGAAGTATGGTATGGTTCTGGAGGACTATGCTCTAAACCACGTATGAAACAAAAAATGTGACGATTTGAACTGTGACGGCGACCGTAACAGCAGGAATATTGATTAACCTAAATCCTTAAATACTGAAACCTAACAATCAACTTTATATGTAATTATGATTAGTCATGATTTTCCGCTTATCCTATGTGATATAACACTATGTTAAAAATAATTCTTGTTAATTAATCATATGGGTGTTGATATGCGAAAATTAGCCTACTCTACCAATGTAACAAATTTGCTTCAATGCATATAATTATTCTTTCACTTGAAGAGTCTCTTCTGATGATCTTAAAAATATTTTTCAAGGAAATTTGTCCATCTATTGACTTACCGTTACATTTTTTCAGATTTTACACTTTTCTCGTTTTCGCATGGATACATAGCCTGAGTTTTCAGCTGTCAGAAAAATATTTAAGATCCTGTTTTAGTAGTAGAATTGCATTCTATAAAGAATTTTGTAATATTGATTACTGTTACACATAGAAGTGTAATTGGTGCAGCATGTAACTAAATGCCTAAGGTCACGTGTTCGACTCCGGGCCCCACTGTAGTTATCGTGATGATATTATATTATCGCATGGAATAATAAGGCATCTATGCAGCCCGCTCCACGGAGATATGAGGCATGCGACCAAGGGGTTTTCGCTGGATAACATAGAAGGAGCTTCGCTCTATAAGATGAGACTTAGTCGGTTCAGATTGGTCCATTAGTTATGGAGCTATGGCCTCTGCCAGTCTTTGCGCAGTTACGAGAAGTAATATGCATGCCTGCCTTTAGCTCACGTCAACAGGAGTCATCCGGAAGACCTGTTCATGATTGGTAAATAACAACTCACTAGTCGAGTTCGTTATCTTCGGCATGCACTCTAAGCTATGCACATAGAAGAGTCATCGATAAGTCCTTTGACAGAGCTGATAACTCCACTAAAGAAGAGAGCAGGGAAGTTAGTTTTCAGGGTCAAAAGGTGTTCGCACCTCTTGAATACTGAACCATTAGTATGGCAAGTACATAGTCAGTAAGGGATTGGATGTAGACCGCGACCACCCAGATGCGGAATATAAATAGCGAGGCGCCTCCCTAGCTTTAAGTTTATCATCAGCGACCGGAGAAGAGACCTTATCAATATATTCGTTCTAGTTTACTTCTATCTTTACGAGTCTTCTTGACTATCTCCGAGACAGAAGATTACAGGACCTAGTGTACACTCGCTTGACTTTAGAGTTACCTACCCCCTAACTCTATATTGATAACCTCTGGTTACCAAGGCTCTTTAAATGATCCTGATAAGACCGCAAATTCATTTAGCAGACTTTGTAAGAAATTCAGACACCCCCTTCGAACTACGACCCGAGTGGTTCTACAATACCTTCGAATACGTCCTTTGGGAACAACCAGATTTACCAGATATTCCCTTATTCGAAGAAGACGAACCATCTTGGTTCACCTACCCTGAAGAGTGGACGGAACCTGATTTCTTCCGCCACTACTTCAATAATCCTGACTGGGAATCCAACGAGGATTTCACCTGTGATACGATGTACCACGGTATGACTTCAGTCCTCTGTGACAACGAAGGAGCATACGAAGAATCCTTGGCTCCGTGGGCATTGGAAATGGAACTTAAACACTAACGTGAGCTTAATGAGGAACAATATGTCGGACATATCTCGCATCACTCAGAGCGGTGAACCCTCAGACACAGATATGGCAGAATCACCACTAGGGACATCAGGATGGGATCCTCGAACAGTTGGAGGACTATTCCCTAGAGACAGACCCTCCACGTTCTCCTCTTCACCATTTGGCCTAGGTTCTCTAGGTAGTGAAAGACCAGCTCCACACAACCCACCTTCTGAAGAGTAAAGATTCAGAAACTTTGCAACCTTAGTGGGAAGAGTAATGGCCCAGTTGGACCGAAACATGACTCAGACCCAAAGCGACCAACATGTCGCTTATGCAGCCCTACCCCAGGCTGGAAAGGACCTCGCCGACGAGTTAGTTGACATAGAGCAACGAGTGGACAAGGGTGAGCGGTTCTTGGGTGATGAACTGGTTAGGCTGGAAAGAGTAGCGAAGGGGCTGCAAGGAGACGTGACCGCGGAACTGGAAAGCTACCACTTAAGAGTAGTAGAAGAGCTCACAAGATCGAGCCTAGCATAACAGGAGCAATCCAGGAAGACCGCGCGGTTGGAAAGGGAAGGCGCTGAATGAAGCGTCGATGCCATGGAACGGGACAATACTTTAGCTCAGATGATTGAAGAGCTAAAAGAGCAATGGACAGCGGATCAAAAGGCCCTTGACATATTCCAAAGAAAAGTCGCAAAAGATCATAATGATCTAAGGACAGCCCTTAACGACAAGTTAACGGAATACGTCAATAATACTAATGAGTACCGAAAGGCAGCTAAGGATACGTTAAAGGAACAGGAAAAGAAGTTCGTCACTTTATCATGACAAATAAAAGAGTTCCAAGTCGAGGTTCAAACCGAAATAGCAGATATGACTGGGAACATAAGCGAACTAATTGCCGATGGAGTAACCCTGGCATTAGAAAGCAGATTTGGAAAGGCACCAACGGGCCCTACAAATCAACCCGGTAATATTGGCTTCTCGCCACTACCTCCTCCAAGTCCTTTCGGAGGGGCTTCGTATGCTGGAATAGTCCCTGGAACCAAGGCCGACCACCAAAGTGCTTATGCACCACCCCCACCACCGGTCCCTCCAAAGAAGGACCCTAGTGGCGGAGGCGGTGGACCTCCAGGCGGAGGCGGGGGACCTCCAGGCAGAGGTGGTGGACCTCTAGGCGGAGGCGGTGGACCTCCCGGCGGAGGCGGTAGAGCCCCTGGCGGAGGAGGGCCACCCGACGGACCAGGAATTATTCATATCGAGGCCCGAGGATGGGGTGATTTGTTGACTCGAGCAGTGGCTGGAGCAGGCCGGAAGCCAGCCGAACTACCTCCCTACTTCGAAAACCAAAAATACCAAGAAGTGGAAAATTGGTTAACCTCTTGCGAGGATTATGTTCGGAGGGATCTGCACTGCTGGGAATTGGACCACGATAAGATAGTATATACCCTAGGATGGACAAAGGGTCCAGAGGTAGTACCCTTCATGGAATGGTATAGAAATGCCATGGATGGATTAGCGGGCCAGGAAAGGCGCGATGAACTAGGATTATGAGAAAGGTTCGGAACGGAAATCATCCAATGGTACTCGCCCGATAACGAGGCATGAAAAGCTTTGGCCTATATGGCTAGAGTATCCTACTGGAACTACATTGAGGCCAACATTACTAGACTCGAGTTGCTCAACATCCAAGGGCAAATGAAGGGACCTAGCTGGAGGCAGTTGGTAGAAAGTAAACTTCCACCCTCCATCCTTCTCAGGATGTCATACGAGGACGCCGATTCGGAGGAAGAATGGATAAAACAGCTGCGGGCTGTAGGTATGAAGGACAAGGAGTTCAATGAGCAATAGCGCATGAGAAGCGGAAACTCTGCGACGACAACTCCAAAGAGAAAGGACAGGGATGGGGATCGAAGTAGCCAACCCAAGGGAACGGCTAAAACATGGTCCACACCAAAGCAAGTTGCAAAAGGAAAGTGGAAACCTGCGGTGACAGGCTCATCGCCGATGAAGCGAGTGCATACTGATTGGAAATCAGCACACAACGGGATACCACAAGAAGTGATTGACTCACGGCGCAAGAATGATAGCTGCACGCGCTATGGACTCGCTAATCATAAGTGGGGAGATTGTCGAAAGGCCACTGCGGTAAACCAAGTTACTGGGCGCAGGATCGCAGTCCCAAGGACCCGACAAGTCGAAGTCCTCCCAACACCTATGCTTGGAAAGGTGGGTCAAACTCGAGCAACCCCAGAACCTCGGATTTGGGAAGCGGCTTGGGATTAAGCAAGGGTATAGAAACGAAGCCTATCGCAACGGTGGAGCATCCGGACAAGGGTAGTGCACCCTGAATAGGATGGCCAACAAGAGGAAGAAATACGCGATCTTGCTTTGGTAGTACATCTCTCCCCGACCTATGAATTGGATGCTCTTTGGAACTCATTATGCAAGAATGACGCAGAGGCGCACTCCGAGAAAGAGCCCAAGGATGCAAAGTGCCTAAGGAGCAGGATGCACACCCTTGGGAGGCCTCCACAGGCGTTGCATGTGAAACGTGAAAAAGAAGGTCAGGAGTATGACCAGATAGTGCACACCTATCGAACCAGCTAGACAGGGGTCCAAGCTGGCTGGACGCAGCCTGATATGAGTTGAAACTGGTGATAGAGTGCTCAGCAAGGTTGTACACCAGACGGAAAGAGTCCTAGAAAGACTTACCAGTTTAAAACGGCTCAA